TAGGAAATTTTATTGTTTTAAGTTTGCTACACTTTGCGACATTGAAAATGAACTGAATTAAAATGATTAAAATCAATCGATTGGCAGTTGACATATGACATTTCCGTTACTTTCGATGGAAACTCCATGAGATTTTTTATGTATTGAACCGATTTAAAGCATATACAAAGTTCTGTTTAGAACTAAATTATGTAATTAATAAACTGTTACAACAATTATGAGCTGCACTTTAAATATTATTAACAATATTTAAACTTTATGTTAAAAATATTAAGTTACGTCTGATAAAATTACGAACCATATTACAGAATTATAAATGAAAATAAATTTTCTAAAATATCCTGAAAAAATTTACACTGTACCGTTTCGCACTGTGACGTCATTGCAATCTTATCATAAATGGACTATATGCGAATTAGAAATCTTACTCGAATTTAAATTGCCACAAATTATTATTTAATTTCACAAGCATTATTTGCAAAACTGTAAGAAAATTTTGTAACATTTTTCTTAAAAATTTAAGGAGTTTCTAGTTATGTATTTTCTTAAACGTTTATTAGATCTTCCAAAAAAATCTAACATAATTTCACGAAAAATCACCGTTCAAGAATACCATAGCATACTCCGTAGTGACACCATCACTACGGCACTTGATTCTGTAGTAGGCCAATCAATAGATCATTAAATCAGTGACTTTGTGAAAAAAATACTACCTAGCAGCAAACGGACTGTGCCATCATCTAAAAGTCAGTCTATAGATATATACTTATATGTTTGGTACTCCAATTTACGATTAATTAATTTTTTATAAATATTTTTATGCACAAAAACGCATTTTTTTCTCGTTTTATTCGTATTTCTATTCTCTACAAATTGTCTCTTTATGCATTCAGATTGCTTCGTTAATTTAGGTTTTATAAGCAAAAAACTAAAAAAATGCGTTTTTTGTATAAAAAAAAATTTATTAATGGTAAATTGAAGTAGGAAACATAATAAGCCTATATCTACAAACTGTCTTTTATATGATTGAAAATTAAAAAGTTATTATTATTTACAGTCTTTAAACCATTAACATAAGCATTATGCAAATTTGGTAATCGATAACACATGCGTACAGCTTGTTTTTGATGCTGTAACTGAAACTTCATTATGCCCAGAACGCCAGGGACGGACTATGCCCAACAGTTAACAACCCAGAATTTTTGCATCTTAGATGACGATCGCAATCTACCTGTATCAAAAATAAGTTCCCTGAAGAATTTTCCAACGATAATACCCTCTTGGTTAAACTCGGTAAAATTTAATTTAACAGTTTAAAAAGTATTTGTGATTTTATGTCTCAGTGCACATCGAGCGGCACCTCCACCATTTTTTATTTTTAATTTTTAACTGCACTTAACTATTATGTTAGAAGCGTACATATTTTTAAAAGAAGAGCCTAGAAAATCTTTCTGTCTGCTAATGTAATTTTCACTAACAAAATTTAACATACACACTTTACTCATAACACAAAATAGAAAAACAAAACAAGAATATGTTGAAGTTAAAAAAAATACTTAAAAGAAAGAAAACTATTAAAATACATTTTCAATATGGGCACCTTCCACCTCCATACACTTCCTAAGACTACGAATGCATTTGTTTGCACACGAAAAAGCACTTATGGAGTAATAATTTAATAGGTCCGTACGTTTTTGAGGAACGTCTGAATGGATTTCGATGGCTACTTGAAAAGTTTATTATACGTAACCCCAGTACAGACAAGGAACGAATTGCTACAAAGAATTAATTTCCATTGTGATAATATTACCCATACCCCAGAAATGCTTTTTCGTATACAAACAAATAACATTCGTAGACTTAGGAAGTGTGTAGAGGTGGAAAGTGCCATATTGAAAATGTATGTAAGTTACTTATTGTTTTGTTTTTTATTTTGTGTTATATGTAAAGTCTATTTGTCAAATTTTGTTAGTGAAAATTGCATTAGCAGACAGTAAGACTTTCTAGGCTTTTATTTTGAAAATATGTACGATTCTAACATAGTAATTATATCCAATTAAAAATTAAAAACAAAAAATGGTGGAGGCGTCGCTCGATATGCACTGTGACATAAACCCAAATATTTCTTAAACTGTTAATTTTACCGAGTTGAACCAAGAAGGTATTATCGTTGGCAAATCATTCAGGGAACTTATTTTTGATACAGGCAAATTGCGATCGTCATCTATGTAAAAATTATGGGTTGTTAACCATTGGGCATAGTCCGTGCTTGGCGTTCTGGGCATAATGAAGTTTGAATTACAACATCAAAAACAAGCTGTACGTATGTATTATCGATCACCAAATTTGCAACATGCTGAAGTAAATAGTTTAGAGAATGTAAATAAAAATAACTTTTTAATTTTCACCTTTGAGGGCCCGTAACTTGTTAACGAAGGCCCGTATGAAAAAAAATATGTATGAAGAACTGATATTATTTTGACCTCATCTATTTTTACTCGACTTTTTAGTATCAAGTACCAGGACATATATAAAAATATATAATTCTCGAAATCGTACCTTAACATTTGACAGGAATTTCCCAGAATCTGAACAGTCTGTAGATAATTTATTTATACAAATTGTTATCATTTTAGAATCAGACTTTTCTATGTGAAATCATATACAAAAATGAGTAAAAAGTATTTGAAATTTGTCTCTAATAATTTTATCTCTAATACAGCTACGAGTGGGTCATTAATAGAGAATATCCTGACGTTCTAATTGTGAATTATTTTCGGCTGTATTCGTTACGTTCCCCATTCAATACAATAATAACCTATTGTAGTGTTCCACAATGGATCTCAGTATCTAAAAAGCTTTTTCTGTTAACAATGACAGAATATAAAATAATCTTGCGCCTCCTAGTTCCTTGAACTCATTAATTTACATCAATATACCCGCAATCATTAATTCAAAATGAAATTAGTTTCCTCGTAAATGTAAGCATTAATTGTGGAAGATAGGCTGTTCAAAATAATTAATGTAGATTTCACAGCTAAATTCGATGGGATTTTTCAGATTATCTCAGAAAATAGACAGAAAAACTGATAAATATTTTCCAATGCAATATGAAGACAATTTCAAATTGAATATGTATTTTCATTTGTTTACGCGTTGTAGGTCATATTCATTTACTTAATATTTTCGACGTCGCGTCGCGTTGTCTGTATATAAATATGTTAACGTATATTTTGCTTTGTTCATCCTTTTCAATTTCGGAAAGTCATATTTGATTACTGCAAATTTCTTTTACATTCAGCATAACATATATTTAAAAATAGATGTGGTATTTATGGCAGCCTATATAAAAGTAAATTATTATCACGGCCAACTACGAAGCTTCCATAAATGATCACAAGCCACGTGACCTCCGGGCTTAGGTACCAAAAAATCAAATTCATCAATATTAATAATTGGTTTACAATGAATAATGACAAATCATTGCTTCTACGTTAGATGTGATCGTCGATTGGTTGAATAAAATGTGAACAATTACACCAGTCAGCAGTCGGAGAAACAGAATGTTGTGTTTTAACGTAATCTTGATCTATTGTTTTAATAACTTTTTATTTTACCAAAATTTAATTGCCAACGCGAAGGAAATAAAATTACTATTCCAATCAAAATGACTGGTTACGTATTTCCGTATTTCCGTCACAAATTAAAAATATATTTATACAATATGTACAAATTTAGGTATACTCTTGTTGAGGTATTTGTTGTCCTTCTTTCTTAATATAGGGTTTAAAACTTTATTAGATCACATGAAATTCCAATGTCTTAAAAGACAAAAATAATTTAGCGATGTTTTTAATTAAAACTGATACCCCACTGGAATCTGGATCCCTATCAAATAAACAAATAAAATTTTCACTAATTTGTAATTTTTAAATATTACGATCAAAAAATATATAATTTTTAATTTTTTGGTCATGTGATAAAACCATTAATCCACAATATTTAATAAAATTTACGAATAAAAAGGCGTAGGTATGGAGGATTTCTAACTTGTTTCACCCTGTAACTTTACACCAGGGAAAATAGCATGAATTATATGCTATATTCTAATCCTTAGACAGTTTTAAGCAAATGTGATATCGTTTTTAGTTATACGGCTACAAAAGCAAAAATGACACATGCGTTGTCACCACCACCAAAGATATTTTTATGCAATTTATTCTAAATGACATTAAAAATATAAAACAAATATAACAACATGGCCTTCCTGTTCTCCAGATTTGAACCCACTTATTATTCCACCGGGCACCTATGCTTTTCTTATTTAATATTCTTGTACTGGAAGATCAAATGTTAAAATAATAATATATGATGTAAAAATTAAAATAATATAATTTCAAAACTTTATTTTGTATACCTACATTCTTAGTAGTTCTTGAAGTGTTAAAATGTTTTATACAGGGATGAGCAAAAATGAGCAAAATATTATACAGAACGGGGAACCGCTTTTGAATGTAGAAAATTTCGAATAGTTCCAAATACATTCGAAGAAAAACGATTTTATGCTATTTCTTTTTTTAGTAGTATTTCACCTGTTTTTCAAAATTTTAGGACAAAATTGTGTAGTATGATATAAAATAATGCATATTTTGCTTATGTAAACATTTCTGTATCTCTTAAAATAAGAAATATACATGTATTGGACAATTAAAAAGCCTGTATATTTTGTACTCTTATTTGTTTTTAACTTCAGTACCCTGTAGCTTTCAAACCGTTAATAATTGGACACGAGGTAAACTTGCAAGTTTTGTAATGTTCTCTACTTCTTTGAATTTTTTACATGCACTATAAATCAACACAACATATTGATCTTTGTTATTTATACGACCAAAATGTTAGGTAATATAAAGGCATTTATTGTATGAGCTTTAAATAATTATATCATTAATTTATTATTTATATCTAGAAATAAAAAATGTTTTCCTAGACTGAAAACTTACCCAAACACTTCGGAAGAGGATATCTCCATTTGCCATCAATTTGACACACGGTTGATGTGTTGCCTTCCAGGAGCATGCCGTCGTGACAGCGGAAGATTATTGATGCTCCAAGGCCTGTGCCTGCCTCGATATTTTCCAGCCATCCATTCCAGAGACGCCCGGGGTGTCCACAATTTATCTCTAAAATGAACAAGTTGATATATTGTACAATAGATATAACAACCACTCGCAGCAATATTACTGATTAATTTAAATAAATTGAAAACATATAAAACTGCTTAATACTGGAATATTCGCATAACATTCTAACCTCATTATCCTTTTTGGTGCTAAAAATGTAAGAAAAATAAAAGTTGCTCGTCTAGATATAAACCAAACTTGTGTAATATAACACCCGGTGTATTTGTAATATACTTTTAAATTCTTTCTAAACAGGTCTCTTAATTAATGTAAACAAATTTAATAAATATATCTACGTTATACAGAGCCTTCATAAATGATTACAAACCACTTGACCAGTAGTTTTATTTGGAACAGTAATTTTATTTATATGATAATAATGGCAATTAAATTTCGACAAAATTTAAAATTATTAAAAGATTACATTAAAAAACATTCTATTTCACTGGCTGTGATTGGTGTAATTTTTGCAAGAGATTCTGTTCAACCAATCAGCGATCGCATTAGAGCGTAGGCGTAATGGTTTGTTTATTGTAAACGATTCATTAATATTGGTGACGCCAAGATTTAATGATTTTTCATACCAGTGCCAGTCGTGCAATGTTGGGTTGCCTAAGCTCACGTGGCTTGTAAATATTTATGAAGACTCTGTAATTATATGTAGGTACCATATAACCTACTGTATATGAAATAATAGCAGGGACTTAGAGCTATACTGGCAGATTTGGGACCATCATGGTTAAAAATTGTTGATTTTGAGGTAAACAAGGCTTTAGAATATCGAATTTTTATTATTAACTGTCTGACTGATAGATGTTGTCCTGTCTATATTTCATTAAATTTGTTTGTAATACACACTTTCAGTTTTTCCGGAATGTTCCAATTTTCCGGGCAACTTTTCCAATTTTTCTTTCCCTAAAAACCTTACTAGGACTACTATGAACTCTTAAAGAATTGCCAAATCAGTTATGCCGTTCTCAAGTGAAGCGCTTACCAACACCATTTAATTTTTATTTTGTTAGACATAAAAATGTAATTGTTTACATTTTGCTTATTTCAGCTTTTACAAATAATGGATTTTGAGATAAATAAGACTCTAAATTTTGTATTAAATAAAAAATTGACATTAATGATTATATTTTTCTTTTGTCAAGTCCTTTAGTTGATGCTATGGTGATTGTCACGCTAGAACTAGACTTTTTGATTACTTCAGCCATAGTATATCATCTGTATATCTAACCCATAAAAATTCGTTATTTGTATGATTTAGTCATTCAATTTTAACACAAGAGTATTTCTTTTACAAAATCTGAATATAATCGCATTTAACCTTTTTTGTAGAAATATATCGGTAGAAAACAGGAAAATCTACAAAATAATTTGTCTTTATAATAATATTTGCTAATTAGGCCAGGAAATATAGAGTTGAGCGGGACTTTTTGTTTCGGTAAGCTGAATTTATCACTATAGAATATTATGTACAATAACATATTAGTTTCCACAGTCTGTTTTTCAACGAAACGTGACGATTTTTTTTTAACTTAAAGCTATTTTCATAAGCTTTCCGAATATGTAATAATATAAAGGGTGTCACAGAATAACGTGTACAACGGAAGACCACAGATTCGCGGACTCAAAATAGGGATTTAGGCTAATTCACCTATATCCCAAATCGCTTCGTTTGGCCGCTAGATGGCCTCAAAGTTCGTGAAAATTTTTTGAATTTTGTAAATAACTCGAATACGTATTATTCGATTTTGATTATTTTTGGGGCGTGGACTTTTGCTTTCAATCTACACATTGTGGTGTTATATATGGCTTTTTTAAAACCTGCAACTCTACAAAATTGATGTATGGTGATAATATCCGTTTATAACGTTTTCCTCTTTCGGGCAATAATGACAACTATTTCTTATTTGAAGTAGAATTTTGATTAAATGAAAGGTTTGGGTACAAAAAAATATTTTTTAAATATCTACATTATCATGCCACCCATATTGTAATAGTTAACAAAGTGTTAGTAGGCACTGATTTTGTAGGTTGACTGTAATTTCAGTCTTTCTTTAACTCATTGTACGTGACAATTGTTAGTAAGTGTTTACGATGATGAGATATAGGTACCACCTATTACTTAATTTTTCGATATAGATACACACACATACGACGAATTAGACTTATTTACAACGTACCTAATTTTTTTCAAAAAATTAAAAAAAAGAATCAAATACAACGCATTGATATTCATTCGAAATTGAATAATACGTATTCGAGTTATTTACAAAATCAAAAAATTTTCACGAACTTTGAGGCCATCTAGCGGCCAAATGAAGCGATTTCGAATATAGGTGAATTAGCCTAAATCTGCCTATTTTGAGTCCACGAATCTGTGATCTTCCGTTGTACACGTTATTCTGGGACACCCTGTACAACTATATCACGCGCGTGCGTCGTATATTTCATTTTTCAACTAAAATAAAAAATTTTCAGGTTGCAAATTTGAAATTTAAAAAAAAATTATAGATTTCAATGTATTATTATGAAATCTATCATGAAAAAAATCAGTGCGATTGTGGAAGATGTTCGGGATCGTCCAGACTAATAATTAGTTAATTTGTTTATAAGGCCATAACTTATAAACTATTCAACTTACCGTTTCCAGATTTCGTGTCAGTTATTAGACAGTAATAAGGAATGAGAGGATGTCATGTCAAAACGTTCTGGTAATAATAACGCAGTTTATAAATATTTAATTTAAAAGTCATAAATAAACTTCTTCTGTCTATACCTAACTTTTGATCTAATCAATATTTGTTGTAATATCGGGTAAGCCAAATTATTGTATTATTTAAAACCACAAATTAATTTTATTAATTAATAAATAATAATAGCGGCAAATGCAGTTGAATTTGTTAATTTAAATAGGTGCTTTAAAATTCCATTTATTTCTTTCCTTGCGAAATTCTTTCAAGTTTTTGTCCGTTTTTATCACACTTTGCCGTCATGCCGGTCGCATTGTGCGAGATCGGGTCTTACAGTGAACTGTCCTTTTTTATTATTTCTTTACAAAATTGTTTTTGTAAGAGTCCTCTGTACATCCAATTTTTTTTAATGAATTCTGAATCACTCTGTATATACTTGTCGCATAAACAGAAAGTTTTATCGGTTGATTTGGCACATGAAATCGCTATTTTATCCGTAATCAAGGATGGCTATTAACTCCATTGATACAGACTTTTGAGATGTTGTGATGTTACTTTAGTGTTTTATTAAAAACGGAAAATATACCTACTTTTAATTTATCAAATTTCAGAGAAGATTTGCTGTTATTTACTCTAAAAAAAATAATTCAATTCATTTCAGAGTATAAAACTTAACTGTAAATTCAATGAAATATACTGCACTAACAATACAATTTAAAGTTCGCGAATGTTTTAGTTTTGAACCAACAACTGTTTGTGGCTGCTTCACGATTTTAACCGACAGAAATCTAGGTAAATACATTCTCTGCTAAATGACTCTAACTTTTTCAGAATATTTCAAGTAGAATGAACTGAAACGACACAAGTTGTAGAATCTCCTCATAATTTGCAAGTGATTTTTTTATTGGAAATTTTACACAAACACTTTAATCGGGACCTCTTAATGCTTTTCTACCAAATTTCCAAAAATAATTGCCAAGTCGTCTTTATTTTGTTGATTTCAAATTTGAAGAAGCAATATTAAAATATGTACTTACTACAAAAAACTATGTAGTTCTTGTGAATATATGTATCTTAAAAGAAACATAAGTGCAATTAAAAAACATATTGCGATTAAAATTTATGAAAACAGAAAAAAATTAATAGGATAAAATTATTGCAGTAAAGTTAAGTGATGGAACGTTAAAATTATTTATTTAATTAACACCACGTTTACTTATAAATAATGTTAGATTGAGTAAAAGTTAAAATGATACTAATAAGCCGAAAAGAATAGACAAACTATAATTTTAAGTTAAGGGGTGCGAGAATGAATGAAAATCAGTTTTTCTTGAAAATTGATGTCTATGAAAGAAGTGAACAATTCTTATCGTATAATGTTCGTTTTGATCAGTGGCTTATTATTATTTAAAAAAGTTACTTTTAATAATATTTATATGCCACTGGATTTTCTAGTTCGATTAAAACTGAATCTGATAATAGATATAAAAAATTAGACAGAAATTTTTTATTTGGGTTTCGGAGATATGAATAAAATTCTTGTCTTGGAAGTTAAGTGCCCATCGACAAATTTTTACATAGATTACCCCCATTAATTTTCATCATAGAATCTACGGTGGAATTAGGTTCACTATTTGACCTTTTGTACGAACTTAACGCATTCTTGTCTTTAATTATTATTTGAAATTTCATTTTCTATGTTCAGAGGTACTTGTGAAAACGTTAGCTTTTACAAAACGTATTTTATTATTAGCTCTCATATTTATTTACGCTATTTTAAAGATATTAAGCTAATTCAAACAAACTAAATTTTTTTAATCATCAAATGAAGTCAATGTCATTCGATATCAGAAATGCAAAAGATATAACCCTATGGACGAGACTCCTAACTGTTCATATTATGAGAAACAACTTGCATTCAATTATACCACAATACCTAGTAAATAACAAATGATAAATAATTATCCAAAATTAAAACTTAAAATGATAATATGTCTAAAGCTAGTTTGTGGTATACAAAAATACATAACCGATATATTAAAATTATTAAATAATGCAATGATTCAAAGAAATGTCCTGTATTTTTACTGTCCTATTATCACCCTTGACAAAGATTAATCAGTTAATCACGTAATAAATAGTTGCTACAAAGACATCTATTTGTTTCCACATCTTACTTAGGATTACTTCATCAAGTAGCTTCCCTTCTCGTTTCAAAACGGAATTTTCTCGAAAAGTTTGATGTTTACAGTAACATTTTTTCTGTATTAATTTATTTATTATTTTCTATTTTTATGTGATTAGTTTTTGTCAAGGATGATAGTAGGACGGCAAGAATACAAGATATTTCGTGCAATTATTATTATTATTTAACAGTTTCAGTATATCAGTTATATGTATTGATTGTATTTAAACATCTCATTTATACTTATAGTTTTTAACTAGTTTTTATTTTGGATAATTATTATTTTTTATTGTTTACAAGGCATTGTCCTGGTATAATTCAATACCAGCTGATAAGATTTTTTTAAATTTTGAATTTGATCCAATTAGTCTTTAAAATAGAGTAAAAAATGTTAGCTTTTTCAAATTTGGGTACCTACTACATTTCGGAAATGACACATTTTCCATGGTAGGACTATTTTCTTATTTTGGAAAACCGAATTTAAATTTTATGTTTGATCAATAATCATGAAACATGCCTATAAATAGGCTGTCAGAACTGAGCCGCGGGACATAGGCGTACGTATTATTTATTAAAAAGCAACACATTAAATTGTCTACAATATACCACCATAAATACCAACGAATTATCACGTTATAGGTATTAATTACGCAACATCCACGATAACAAACGGAACAGTATACTAACGTGACGTGAACGTGAAAAGCATTCTGAGGCAGCGGCTCACGCATGTCTCGGTTGGCCCGCTTGGCACACCATTGAATTGCGGCTCTCTCTGACAGCCTTACTTATATAAGCAATATAAAACAAGCAATATTTGTTAAGATAGAATAGAATTTCTGCCTTGGGTGAATGCGAGTGGCAGGGGTGAGCCTTGAAATTTTCTCCAATGTCTTTTTACCTCGGGTGTCAAATGCGGTTAATTTCAAGAAAGTGATGCAGGGGCCTTCTTGGAATTCTATCTCAACAAATATCGTACGGACTCTATTTGCTATTAACTATTTTTCATTTTCAGTTTTGAAACTTAAATACAATACCAGTTATAAAAAATTATTGCTTACCTTTGCAAACCGGTTGAGTACCCGACCATTTCTTGTCGGCTCCACACCGCCTCGTGCTCTCTCCAACCAGCGTATAACCATATTTGCATTCATAGCTCACTACAGAATTGTAGTTACAAGACGTGTAGATTGCCTTTCCATGTCGGGGATTTTCCGGGGGTGGGCACTGTACCGCTGTAACCACTACACAACAACGACCGACAATACAACATTTCTTTAAAATATTTATATCTAGGAGGGATTAGTTAATTAAGAATGGCCTTACTTAGATGAATGTCTGTGTCGTGGAAAATGGGATTCCAGTAGAAAATACAAAATCAGTATCACATGATATCTTTAAATAAGTATTTTAATTTTGGTTGTTGAAAATTATTTGATTCGAACTCATCAAATTACAGAGCCACACAAACAAATTCTGTGCCAAATATATCAGTACATGGATTTTGTGTATTTGTTGATGCGGAATCCGAATCCGCATCCCAAAAACCGATTTGCCAGGTCATTTTTTAGTAAATCGCTAAAACTTCCCCAAAATAGGATGAGGTTAAGTAAAGCTTTATAATGAAATGCAACAATTTGTAAATACTGTGAGAAAATATTTTAAATTAATATTTTGAGTAGGTATTGGACAGAAATATATGCAATTAAATCCTCTGCACACCCCTATGAGGGGTTAGTTCCACTCCTAAAATCAAATAACGAATGTTAGTGCAAAATAATGTGAAATTTACAATTTCATTGTTTGATATCTTGTGATGTTTACCATAGCCACATAATTTTTTTGTTTATATTTCTAAATTCACTTCTGCCATTTTATGTGAGCAACATAACATCACCTTCGTTTTTCTCGAAAAATGTAGTTCCTGTCGATCGAACTAGTACACCTTTTCTTTGTATTATCTTTTACCTTTATTATCTTCAAACTATGGATATGGGTATCCATGCCTCTGCTATTAGGAATAAATTGATTTGCACGTTTTCCTTAATACACACTTGATATACAGGGTGATTCACAACTTATTAAAACAAATTTGGGAATAGATGCGGCATGAGAAATAGAGTCAATATCGTAAAAGAAATTTGTAAAATCCTTAGGTATATAGTTTCCGAGAAAAAAAATTATTGAAGTTGTAGCAGTTTCAACCATTACATAGCTGGACAACTGTAGTCTCTAGCGTCATTCGGTAATACGCATGGAGGGCTACGCGGCCTCAGCGACTCAAAATACTGAAATCCGATTTTACAATCGTCGTTGCGATAATGTTTCCAATAGTTTTGTCAAAAATGGCTTACGTGTATAGCAACTTGGAGTTGATGAATATCGTTTTAATTTATGGTGAAGCAAGACAACATTTGTATTATGGTGAAGCATTTATGTTATGGTGAAGTAAGACAACATTTTTTGTGTTAGTTCGTAGAAACTATATAAGACGGGTCCAAATGTGTTTACACGTCGGTGGACAAAATTTTGAACAGTTGTTATAACATTATTATTAATTAATAATAACAATAGCGGCAAAATCAGTTGAATTTGCCGATATAAAATAGGTGCTATAAAATTTCTTTCCTTGCGAAATTCGTTCAAGTTTTTGTTCGTTTTTATCACACTTTGCTGCCATGCCGCTTGCCAGTCGCATTGTGCAAGGTCAGGTATTACAGTGGATCAGTTTCCAATGTCGTGCATAAGTGTATTTTTAAATCATTGTATTTGTAAGAGTCCTCTGTACATACTAATTTTTTTGAGATAAATTCTGAATCACTCTGTATATCCATGTACAAATTTTGACATTTTTATCTTTAGCCGACTTAAAGGCTATTAAGAAAAACCTCTTGTAAAGTAACACCTTCAATACCCTGTATCTCAGAAATACAACGTTAAAGAGAAAAACATTATAATGATCTATCCGCACTATTTTTTCAGGAGGAACTCGCACCCCAATTTTTTTGTATAAACGATACACCCTGTAGATATATAATTTGTCAGTTTTTAGATCTCTTTTAGGGTTTCTGATTTCTCGGCCTATTTTTTTTTCTTGGGTCTCGAGAATTCTCGACTAGGAATTCCCGGGAATTCTTGAATTCTCGAGAAATTTCTAAAACTTAAAAAGTCATCATTTTGGTATTGCAATGTGAAATATAAACATGCTATTATACTTAACAATCATCATTAACATTTATTATTTATTCAGTATTTTTATTAATTACTTATGTTTCTACTTCTACTAACAAAACTAAATTAAACTTTGAGTTTCTTCTTAAAAACCTTTAACTTGTTTTTTTATTAAACACTTTCAATATACTTATGTTTATTTCAATGTTTTTGAATCGTAGTTTTCTTCCAATAATAATTATTAATAATCATTAATCATGCAGTCTTTTAATTAAATAAATAGTAAATAAGGAATTTAACCGAAGAAATCTTAAAAAAAAAAAAGCTTTAATTTAAAGATACAGAAGCGTTCTTCCTATTAATTTATCACTTCAACATTAGGTATCTGCTTATAATAAAATTTCTACACAGACTTATAACTAGGTACAGGGTGATTCACTATATTTTGACCCCCCTTTAACTTTTTTGTTTTAAGAGTTATAAAAAAATGTGAAATACAAAAGTTGCACGATTTTTTATGAAATTTTCGAATATGATAGTAGAAAAACAAATGAAGTTCAAACAAAATGGCCGCGGATGTTAACTTTGTTAATTTAAATGGAACACCCTGTATATTTTTACACATTTGGATAGAACGTTCCCTGTCGAGCACAGTCATATATGGTTTGTTGGGTCCATCTCTAACAATAAGCGAGATAATATTAAAAAACGAAAAGAACGTTTTTTATTAAGAAAATAAAATATTTTGTAATTGTTGGACGTTTTTCGGGCATTTCTGCCTTTTTTCCAATTACGTAAGGATTTAGATTTATTTGCAATATATTTTGACATATCGAACATTGATATAGTCCAAAATGGGTATAAGTATTTTAACTAAATCGCACTAATTAGTCCGTGAGGGGCTTATTTACTCATGGACAATGTTATATGGTAGGCCGTGACAGTGACAGGTAATATTATGACAACATTGTTATTGTTTGACAGTTTGTATTATTATTTATTTAAAATGGGTTACACAGAAGTAGAAAATTTAAATATTATAGGAATTAAGATAGAGTAGTTAAGATATTCTCCATAGTTTATTTTAATTCCTAATAATATTTCAATTTTCTACTTCTGTGTAACCCATTTTAATTAAATACTAATACAAACTGTCAAACAATAACAATGTTATCATGACATTACTACATGTCACTGTCACGACCTACCGTATATAAGATTGTCCATAAGTAATTGGCCTCACACGGTCTAATTAGTGAAATTTACTTAAAATACCTATACGCATTTTGGACTATATCAATGTCCGATATGTCAAAATATATTACAACTAAATCTAAATCCTTACGTAATTGGAAAAAAGGCAGAAATGCCTGAAAGAGGTCTAACAATTATTACAAGATGTCTTATTTTCTTAATAAAAAAAATATCATTAGGTTTTTTAATATTATCTCGCCTATTAGTAGAGATGGACCCAACAAACCCTATATGACTATGCTCGACAAGGAACGTTCTATCCAAATATGTAAAAATATACAGAGTGTTCCATTTAAATAAACAAAATTAACATCCGCGGCCATTTTGTTTGAACTTCATTTGTTTTTTCGAAACATCATCATTTTCAAAAACTTCATCAAAAATCGTGCAACTTTTGTATTTCACATTTTTTTATAACTCTTAAAACAAAAAAGTTAAAGAGGGGCAAAATATAGTGAATCACCCTGTACATTAAAAAAAAAGAATCATCAAAGTAAACTAAAGCCTTAAAAACTTAAAATAAATAAATCATGAGCTGGTAGAGAAACCACTTTAACCGCTCAGTTATTTGTCGAGAAACGAATTGAACGCATGAACAAAACGAACTCCAGTCAAGAACTTAAGACGCGCGTGATTTTTAAATTTCTCGATTTCTCGACACTTTTTTCTCGTCTCGAGTAAGGCCAGATTTCCCGGGAATTCTCGCTTCGAGAAGTCTCGACCAGAAACCCTAATCTCGTTAGAAGTCTTAAAATTCACAAATCCTTGATGTAAATAACTTTATGAAAAGTGTAGTGACATGCATAATATTCGAACCATAGTTTGAGAATGGTTAAGAATTTGTAGAAAATCTTAATAAAGTTTTTAATTAAGATTGTTTCAAGCGATGAGCCCTTAATGATATGAAAAATGTTACAGTGAAAAATGTTTAAAATAAATTTCCCCGTCTAACACTAGGACTAAAAAATACCCAACAAGAAACGCCCTTCCGAAGCATCAACATTAATCTCGAACTATCATCAGGAGCCTTGATAAATTGCTAATGCCCTGCATGTAATAAGGATAAAAACAAAGAAACGCTTCAGGAACAGTCGCGATATGTATAATAGAGAAATATATAATATATCAAGTTACTCAACCATGCAAAGTAAATTGTCTTTTGAAAAAGTAGGTCTGTAAGAGCATAAAATTGCAGAATGTTACAAGAAACGATAAAAACCATAAGAGTTTCTGGAAAAAAACAAAGAATTATAGTTAGTTAAATGCAGCAGTACTACAGTCCCATTACAAAAGAAGTCATAATGACTGGAAAGTAGAAATGTACATAGGGCAATCGACTGAAAAAGCAAAAGTTGTAACAGCAATTTAGATATAAATATATTAAGCTAATTCAAATAAAATGTTCCCAATGTTCCCTGAAGTAAAACAATGTTTTCGATACCAAATTCCGTGGAAATATGGTAAATTCCAAGTTATTTGGAAAAAACTAATACCGTTTTTGGGGGTGCTGTTCTTGAAATTTATCTGAAATAGTGCAATGATGTTATAAATTTTCAATAAATTGCTCGTAATTATTTAGCGCGTACTACATTTTAAAACACGAATCAACGAACACTCTTCTTTCCCTCTGTTCTGTGACAATTGACAGTCTCTTGACTTAACAGGCTTGACAGCTTTAAACGCAAACTGATATAATGGAAATCATACTTTATTGGGGGATCCTAATTTTGTTTTATTTATTCATATCTAATAAACATTTTACTTGAGTGTTATAAATAACACTTCTAACTTTTATGATTGTGTCTTTAATCCTTAATAA